AAAAATTCTGAAAATCGCCTATAAATTGTTAATAACATTATGCTTGGTAATGAAACTTTATCATCTGTTTCTGTCCTCTAGCGATACATTTGGGGCGGAAAATGACCGTTCGTTGATGCATATATTTATTCAGTTACTAAAACTGTTTTGCTTTTGTTTTTTCAGGGGCGGAACACATTCACACTTTAAAATTATATTATTCCTAAACCGTATGTGATTGTTTTTGTTTTACCTTAAGCTTTAAGGGTACTTTCGAATGAACCTTTATAGAATGCATGCGAGCAGAATATCGGCTGGATTCTGTGCAAAAAGTGTCTAGCTCGGGTACAATAGGAAAAAGGCCGCACAAAGGCGAGGGCAAGATAAAGGATGCACAATCCATAGTAGGGAATGCCAAAGAAAACGAAGGCGCTCTTAATCAGAATTAATCGCACATACTCGTAACGAGGCGTGAATATTTTCTTGAGATTTTGCAAGCGACTCAGTGGGAATCGAACCTCGGTTTGTGCGATCCACGGCCCGACGCCTTTGCTTGGCGCCTCGAGGGGACGCGAAAGTGAATGGACAGCTGCATGACACGGGAGACGGCAGGAACAGGCAACAGCCAGCGCGCGCACCAAAGGATAACGCAGTCGGAGTATGACGTCACAACTTCGCATAGAAGATAGTATATATATTAGCGGGTGCGATAAACTTCCACGCGCGATTACCTCAATTCAAGAGCACTAAGACTTCAATGCGCTTCACGCAATCTCATGAGACGCAGAGCCCAGATACTCTACTGGGGAAATACATCTTACATCGCTCTTTTGCATTTTAGATAGCGCGCTTTCAGCGCCGAATCATGTTGGAAACCCTCACTGAGAGAACGCACGCGCATCCCGCTGTCCCTCCCGCTTTCACGCTGCACGGAGGGAGAGGGCTATCACCGGCAATCCGGGATACCTGATTTTCCAAGGCAGAGGAGACGGCTGTCTCCGGGAGACCGTAGGCTTGGGACTTCTCGGAGACAGCCGTCTCTCCTGCACGAACCCCACGGGAATGCTGGGTTGAGTGTGTGCCTGTCAAAGATATATCTACGAGCATGCTGGTTCATCATTTCCTATTGTTGCTTTCCCTTGATTAAGTAGGATTTTACTCTCTCTCATACTTAGTGTACGACGCTGCCGTCCAAGTTGCTAGCTTGTGAATGGGGTTTAATCTCGTCGATCATTTCACGCGTTCTCTCGCAAGCAAAACCATGGATGAAGCCACGCGCTCACGACAGTAACTTTGACAGCGTTGTATACTAAACTAAATTCCCTGAATCTTTGGAAAGTAGTGCCAAGCTCCCCGTATTGTTGCCATTTTTATTCATGTAGTATAATTTCTGTATCACCTCTCAATTCTTTGTTAGCTGATCTCAGTAGACCTATTGCTAAATTACCCAAGCATCAAGGATAATGCTGGGAATGTATGTACGCGCGCCACACGCACTTGCATTCAAATATAAAACATTCAAAGCAAAGCACCGAAATAAAGTGTTGATAAACCCGTGTGCCAGACGCAATTTGTTTTAAGCATTTCCTTTAGAAGAGTTACTACTGCTAAAGTCAGCGCGTGCAGCGCGTGTACCTACACTCGCAGCATGCTTTTTAGTGGTTGAGCAATTTAGCAAAAGGTCTATTCCAGGTGACAGCTTGCTTTATCGAGGTACCCTCGAGTACCAAGATGCGGCGCCGCCATGACGTGCAACGCCGCATCTCGTGGCGGTGCGAAGATGTGCGACAAGCGCGTACCTTCCCACCACCACGAGATTTGGTGTAGGTGCTTGACGGCATTGAAAACTAATTTCTTTGTCTCAGAATATCCAAGAGGAACAAAACCGTTTTAAGAGATTTGTAGAGATATGCATGATTGGTAATTTGATTGTAAGCACAGTCTCTTATAGTGACGAGGATCTCTTTCAGTACGATGATGATCCATAGCGGTCGCCACTGGATCTAAACAACCCTTTAGAAGCTTCGAAGATTTAAGGGACCAAGATGGCGATTGTCATGGGAACTGAAACAGATCAGCCAATCACATTGCGAGGTTGGTTCATCTGAAAGTTAGTATTTTTTTTTCCAGCTAGGAGGTAAAGAAGGCAAGGGTGCTGCTTTGCCAGGGTCCATTGACTTTGGGGGAAACCTGCCTCCCAAGACGGTCAAAAGTATTCTAAAGTACGTGCCTGAATGCGCCCAGTTCCTTGCTGCTATTTATGACGGTAGACCACATGACGGACGGTAGGCCTTCCTGGCTGTCGCCGCGGTAGGCCCACAGGCCACCCAGACTGGACGACAGCTCGTAGATGACTGGCTCGAAGCCCTCGTCAAGCATCTGACGTGCAGCGAGGATGCCGCTCGATCCGCCTCCGACAATGCAGACACGCAGTGGCCCTTTGTCATTGCTGATGCGCTGCATGATACTAAAAGAAATTTCAATTAATTTTAGGCTCTCTCCTTGTTCTAATCTTTAATAATTGTATCACACATGCAATTCCATCGTGTATCAGGTTGCATGTTGACGACTGCGTTTTCTACAGCAAAATGTCCGGTGACGACGACGCTCAAGACCTACAAAGTGGTGTGATAAATGGAAGATGTATTTTAATGTATCCAAACATGTTCATGTTCGACTCACTAGAAAACGTAAAACGGTCCCTGCTGTTTTCAACCTAAACAATCACCCTTTAAAAATTAGTACTAAGGCAACCTATCTCAGGGTTCCCTTAGCCGATGATTTCAGATGAAATAATCACGTGAAGTAATTGTGCTCTAAGGCTAGCGACATGCCGCACATTATGCGTCGCAACTTCAGAAACGTTTTGGCTCACTTGAAAGAAACCTTCTAAATTTATTACGTCCTCCCGATTACGGACCATGCCTGTATTATTTGGGACCCGCACATGCAAATAATTATAAACAAAATCGGAAGAATTCAAAATGAGGCTGCGAGATAGGTGCTAAATAACTGTAATTTTCACGATAATGTATCTCAAATCTCAAACTCGGATGGATACCTTCACAAATACGACGAAAGTTTCTCCGTCCGAAGTTGATGCATAATCTATATTACTTTAGCATCGGGATAGATAAATCAAGATACATAGTGGCACCTAATTATGTTTCGCGTCAGACTGGCAATAAGAAAAAGATCTGAGAATTTTTCACACGTACTGGGGTTTTTGAAATATTTATTTCACCTCCCCCCCCCCCCCCCTTCCCGACCCCCAAAAATTTAGTGACCGGAACGTGCTGCCCGACTTACTGGTAAAGGATCATAACTTTCAATGCTTTTTTGATGAAATCAGATTATTGTAGTTTATTTTTACGGTTTACTTTGCTCGGCCTGTGTTTGCTGTTGATCGTGTTCTCATATTATTGAAGTATATATGAGCATGTTTCTCCTGGATGATTTGGTATTTTTTGTTGTTTGTTCCGCTATACGTTAGCTTTTGTATAATTGTTTCCGTCCCCCTAATGTGATGCCCACCGGGTGATGTAGGCACCAAATAAATAATAGACGATTCTTAATTCTATGCTCGATTCGCTGCTCATTTTGCTAGAAGTATGGTGCTAATGACAGCGTTAATAAGGGGAAAATAAACACGAAAATTGTAAGTCCTCTTCCTTTTGCTGGAATGTGATCGATACATCATTCATATGTTTGCAGAGTCACAGCTCAGCGCGCGAACGTTCGTCAGATTCGAAAGCGAGAGCTTCTACGAGGGACTCTGAAAGGGGCACGAAACATAATTACGTACATGTCGCCTTGAAGAATGCTTGTTCTGCACGAGCGCCATGCTTGACAGATGGAAACTGGCCACCGCCATTCCTCTGCTCGTGCAGAGAAGTCCGTGAAATTAAAACTTTTCCAAAGCTATGTTCATGCTCAAGGTGCACATGCTTGCACTCATAGGGCACCAGTTGGGGCACCATGCTTGAATTCGTCTTGAGAGAGTATTAACGAAAAATTGGGGTGTGTGTATATTTATGCAGTCTCGAACGTAGTCTGCCGCAACGAGCGACTTGTCTCCCAGCTGTAGATGCGAAATCTAGCCAGTGCAGTACACCCGCTAGCCTGCGGTCTTTAACGTGCACCACGCAGTAGCGATTCACGACCGCACGCCGGTACGATGCTCATCAAGATCAAAGCGGGCAGGGCTGGGGATTGAACCCAGGATCCCTGGGCCGGTTTGCTCATCTTGCGGCTGCGGCCGCGGCTGCGGCCAGGAGGGATATTTCTGTCACGTGACCAGCTCCATGGGGACAAGAAAGTACCTAGCGTCCCTTCCTAATGGCGGAGAAATCCGTGTCGCTTCGAGTACAAAAGTATAATTTCGCTCGCAGAAACTGACTGCACAGGCTTTCAACTGAGGTCCAATTGACCGCCCCATCATACGTTAGGAGCGGCAGGTAAAGTTACGGTCAGGGAACGTAAATATAAAGCAAAATAAAGAAAAAATCACGCTAAACAAAAGCGGTGGTTGTGTATTTATATATATGTGCCAGCAAGGTTCGCACCATCGGCCGCGTAGTCGAGCGGTTAGAACGCCGGGACTGGTCGTCGCGTTGAAAAAGTTCCGGGTTCAAATCCGGCGAAAAGTTTTTTTTTTTATTTTGCGCGTTTTTTTGTGTTTTTTGTTTGTGATAATTTTTACAAACCGTCCTTGCTATGTCTGAGTCTTTGTTTCTTGCTCAACATCTATTTTAATAGTTCTAAACGCAGAGACTACTTTTGCGTCCCAAAACGTCTGGCTACCCTACCTGTTGCGTGTTTTGCGCCATTTTCGGTTCTGCCGCACCTGCATTTCTTTCAACCGTTTCTTGACCGATTGCTAAACCGTTCCACCGACATACTCACCGACCGACCGACGGACTGACTACGACTGATTGACGGACTTGTCAACGCTCTCTGTCTGTGTGTGCCTACATAGAGACATGTCATCTAGGTCGAGACGCCTTGTTCGGCGAGAACGGATGTATCGGCAGTATGGCATTCTGATGCTAGGCAGGGAACGCGTATTCCGAGAGCGCCTTAATCCTCTCGACGTGTTCGACGAGTTCGAGCTGCAGCAGCGATTCCGCTTCGGTTACGACGGCATCATGTATCTGGTCGAGCTTCTTCGGCCAGACCTGGAACCACAGACGCGCCGCAGTCAAGTCGTTTCTACGGAGCTGCAGGTGATTGTTGCGCTTCGGTTTTTCGCTACCGGGAACTTTCTCATCACGGCTGGCGACTACGTGCACGTCCACGTATCCACTGCATCGCGGATAGTCAGGAAGGTGACTGCAGCACTAGCGCGTCGTGCAGAGAGGTTAATACGGTAAGTGGCAACATATTTATACCCTTTGTGGCGTTTAACCGGGCTATAATAAAGTCCTTGATTTAGCTGTTCATTTGATGTCATGCCAGCTAACTTGATGGAGGATTATGTGTTCAGTGGTGTCAAAGTGACACACTTGAAGAATATTTTTTTGCTTTGCCAGGCGATTCTTGATGGTGTCAGAATACTACACAATCAATATTTTGCTACAGCATCACGTATATTTTTAAGTAAAAAAAAAAAAACAATTGCTCGAAACCGAAACCGAACTGGGGAGGAAGAAGAAATGCAGAGGAGGAGAGGTTCGGCGTAAGTCAACTCTCTCCTCCTCTATATTTCTCGCTGTGCATCTAGCCATCTCGTACAAACGAGATGGCTAGATGCACAGCCATCTGGTTCAAACAAGGGAGCCTTTTTGAAGGCTCCCTAGTTTAAACTAGACGGCAATGCAACTGAATGGCTGTGCAACTTTTTTTTTTTATGTCAATGTAAATGTTGTTGTTTACAAGACACAAAAAATGCGTTTCATATGTCTTTTCTATTTTTAATATTCAGTGTGTGCCTTCGATGACCCACGACTTTGATCATATCTGGTGGTTGTGTCTAAACTACAGAAAACGGCATGTGACCGCGGAGAGAGCGCGAAACCCATGTACGACGAAACCGTCCGATCTGACGTCCGATCAGGCAATATGACGCTCGGAGGCGAGGGTTTTCAACGTTTGCCGAAGGTCATTCCGGCAGCTCGCACGTCGGATTGGACGGTTTCGTCGTACACGTGTTTCGCGCTGAAGAGAGTGAGCGCGACTCGAACAGTCCAGTTCTCGATCGGCGGTTTTCGGGTGGAAAGAAACCGAATTCCGAGTCACAAATTCTTTTCTGAGCAGTTGGGCTCTCACATGTCACGTACAACTAAAAACCTCGGCCAGCATAAATACCCTGTCAGTGTCCCTTTAAGATTGCCCACACAAGCGAGTGTAAAGGCGGGTTCACCTACTTGCGACCAAGTATACGACCGAGTGAGACAAGACCGATTTCTAAGCCCCTTTCAATGGCGTAGGACCAGATGCGCTGCTGCGGAGCAGCTCCAAAGCCGTCGCAAGAGGCTCAAAACGCGGTCTTGCCTCAGAAGGTCCTACTCGGTTGCAAGTGTGCGAACGAGCCTTTACCGCCGTATTCAGAAACCTCACTCAAACTACACTCAAACTGAAGGGCCCCTCCAGTTCCTCGAGGAAGGCGCAAGGCCGGCGCTGGCCAATCGCGACGGCGGATCCGTCCTCGCGATTGGCCAGCGCCGGCCCTCGCGCCTTCCTCAAGGAAGTGGAGGGGCCCTTCAGTTTGAGTGTAGTTTGAGTGAGGTTTCTGAATACGGCGGTTAGTGTATCAGTGACGAGAGCGATAATAACCGAAGTGGAAGGCGTTGAAGCATTCATAATTGTAAACCCTTAATATTTTCGCAATCGGTCGTAATACCTGGAGGAAATAATAAAACAAATTGGCGATCCCAGAGCCCTAGAAACAAAATGTTATTTTTCCCCTTTCAAACACCAATATGAATAGGTTTTAATTCCCATTTAAAAAAAGAAAAAAAAAAAAACAGAAGGAACAACTTTTGGCCAATATAAAGTTTCTCAGTTGTACTTCCCTCTCTACAATGTTAGAAAATGCATTCCTTTACAAGTACTCGCTGTGTTATGAGCTCGTACTTTTCGATAATTTGAACAATGATGAATGAAGCATTTTTTGATCTACCACAACAATTATTATTTTTAAAAGGAGTCCACACAATGTATATACTTTGGTATTTCGAAACTGTAATTGGTCGTATTAAAAAAAAAGTGCTTCTTGTAACTCTTCACAAAGTGGGTGTATGTGACAATAATTTTAGTGCACAGATTCCAGAGCAGACGACAAATGTTTCAATGCAGGTGGCCAAATGAAGCTGAGGCGGCTGAAGTGCAGCAGCAGTTCTTTGAGGTGGCGGGCTTTCCTTCCGTTGTGGGTGCTGTGGATGGTACGCACATTCGGATTCAAGGACCGTCGGACCACGAAGAAGCGTACGTCAACCGCCATGGCTACCACTCCATCAACGTGCAGCTAGTGGTGGACGCTGCATTCCAAATTCGTCATGTGTTAGCAAGGTGGCCTGGCAGTGCAAACGACTCCAAGATCTTCAAGAAGAGCGCCCTTTCCGTAAAGCTATCCAATGGAACCTACGACGGCTTGCTGCTGGGCGACAGCGGATATGCGTGCGAGCCATGGCTCATGACACCCTTCCTGGTGCCCTCGTCATCGCCAGAGGAGGAATACAACAAAGCTCACATCACGACCAGGTGTATCGTGGAAAGGTAAGCACATACATTAACATGATTTGTTCATTATCGCCATCTAAGTGGTTCAAATCATTTATATCTTAGTCACATAGAAACCCTCAAGCATTCGTCAGACATTTGGTAGGATGAATGCTGACAAAAATACAGCTAAGTGCATCTAATATGAATGTGAAAAATACATAAACAAAGTTGATGACGGCACTAATTAAATAAAAATGAAGCCTTCAAATAATTTAGTCTTATTCTTTTGCCTTGCTCCCCGCTTAAAATTGGCTAAAAGTGAACTATATCAACTAAAAAAGTGCACGTTACATTCATTTCCGCTTTTTTTACAACGTAGCTTTTAGCTCGAATATTATCTTTGGTTATTTATGGTGCAGAATGCGATTGAGAGAAACCATTCTTTAGCGTCCAATTATTATAATTTTACACTCTTTTCACATATATTGAAGATAATCTAATCAGCCTAACAAGTTTATATCTAACAAATTATGCATAGGTTTAAAAAAATTCACTATGTTTGTGCAAAAGTGCAGGGGGTGCCATTTGTGCATTCTTCAAAATTTACCTTTGTTTTGATACAACGATGCGAGGAGCAATCAGAAGTGCCCTCCAATTAAAATGTAAGCCCCTGTAGTTCATTATACATACTGCAGCATCCGGCCACTTTTGCAGGACCATTGGCCAACTGAAAAGAAGGTTTAACTGCCTGCACGCTGAGCTCCGGATGCTACCCAAGAGATGCTGCGACATCGTGGTGGCCTGCTGCATCCTCCACAACCTCGCCAAATGGTTTCCGTGCAGCCTTCCCAGCACTTCCCTGCCAAGTGAGGTTCCCACCGATCCCATAGAAGCAATACGGCCAGACAGCGTGGCAGCCCGAGCTGCTATTGTGGCCCGGTTTTTTTCGTGAATGTAAGTAGACTTATTCCATATTGCGTGAGAGGCATTCGCAGACATTATGTTCTAAAGTGAATGATTCATCTTTGTTATTTGAACTTGTTAACTGTACCTCTTTCGCATAATGTATTTAAGGTTGTCTCAAAGAGAACAGTAGGAATGTGACAAGAGGATAAATAAAAACAGCAGTATTTTTATTTGCATACTGAAAGACTACAAGATACTGCATCAAACATAACACCAATGTCACATTGCCAAAAAAAGTGAAAGCTGCTTACGACTCCCTGTAACGCCGAATTAGAGCGCAGCTCTTGAGGAGGAGGAGGGAAGGGCACTGGGGGGGGGGGGGGGGTTAAACTAACCAGGTGGGGGTCACGTGACCCCCAATGCCGATGATGTCATCACTGACGTCACTGATGACGTCATCAGTGACGATGACGATGCGGGTACCGATGACGTCATAAGTGACGTCACTGATGACTTCACCAGTGATGATGACGATGACGATGCGAATGTCGGTGACGTCATCAGTGACGTCGCTGATGACGTCATCAGTGATGATGACGATGACGATGCGGATGTCGGTAACGTCATCAGTGATGATGACGATGACGATGCTGATGCCGGTGACGTCATCAGTGATGATGACGATGACGATGCGGATGCCGGTGACGTCATCAGTGACGATGACGATGACGATGTGGATGCCGCTGACGACATCAGTGACGTCACTGATGACGTCATCAGTGATGAGGACGATGACGATGCGGATGCCGGTGACGTCATCAGTGATGATGACGATGACGATGTGGATGCCGGTGACGTCATCAGTGATGATGACGATGACGATGTGGATGCCGGTGACGTCATCAGTGATGATGACGTCATCAGTGATGATGATGATGACGATGTGGATGCTGGTGACGTCATCAGTGACGATGACGTCATTGGGGGGTCACGTGACCTCGGGGGGGGTCACGTGCCCCCCACGAGGTCACGTGACCTCGGTGGGGGGCTCGCGCGGTGCATTATGGGACAATTCCCATGATGCACCGCGCGGTTACGCCGACGCCGACGCCGACGCCGACGCCGACGGCGACGCCGACGCCGCTCAAGCCGGAAACGGGCCCCTAAGAGCTGCGCTCTAAAAAAAGTGAAAGCCGTTTACAAATCCCTGTAACGCCGAATTGGAGCGCAGCTCTTGAGGAGGAGGAGTGAAGGGTACTGAGGGGAGGGTAGACCCCTCCCCTTCTCCTCCTCCTCCCCTCATTCTTTAATATGCTCCGGGGGGGGTGTCACGTGACTTCGGGGAGGGGGTCACGTGACCTCGGGGAGGCGTGACCTGGAGGTGACCTCAAGGCCACGTGACCCCAAAGGTGACCCCCACGTGACCTTGGGGGTCACGTGACCTGGAGGGGTCACGTGACCTCGGGGGGTCACGTGACCTCAGAGGGGTCACGTGACCTGGGGGTCACGTGGGGTCACGTGACCTTGAGATGACCTTGGAAGGGGTCACGTGACCTTGGGGAGGCGACCGCGTGACCTCGGGGGTCACGTGACCTCAGAGGGGTCACGTGACCTTCAAAGGGTCACGTGGGGTCATCTTGGGGTCACGTGACATTGAGATGACCTTGGAAGGGGTCACGTGACCTCGAGGGGTCACGTGACCTTCAGGGGGTCACGTGGGGTCACGTGACCTTGAGATGACCTTGGGAGGGGTCACGTGACCTTGGGGGTCACGTGACCTTGGGATGACCTTGGTTACGCCGACGCCGACGGCGACGGCGACGGCGACGCCGCTCAAGCCGGGAACGGGCCCCTAAGAGCTGCGCTCTAAAAAGTTCTAAAATCATATCACAGTGTTTTTATTTAACAGTTATGTTTGGCTGCCAGCGCCGGCCCTAGGGGTGGGCTACCTGGGCGGTCAAGGCGCCATGAAACGGGGGGCGCCGCCACGCCCCTCCTTTCAACTTTTTTTAGAGCGCAGCTCTTAGGGGCCCGTTCCCGGCTTGAGCGGCGTCGCCGTCGGCGTTGGCGTCGCCGTCGCCGTCGGCGTTGGCGTCGCCGTCGCCGTCGGCGTCGGCGTAACCAAGGTCATCCCAAGGTCACGTGACCCCCAAGGTCACGTGACCCCTCCCAAGGTCATCTCAAGGTCACGTGACCCCAAGATGACCCCACGTGACCCTTTGAAGGTCACGTGACCCCTCTCAGGTCACGTGCCCCCTGAGGTCACGTGGTCTCCTCCCCAAAGTCACGTGACCCCTTCCAAGGTCATCTCAAGGTCACGTGACCCCAAGGTGACCCCCACGTGACCCCCAGGTCACGTGACCCCTCTGAGGTCACGTGACCCCTCTGAGGTCACGTGACCCCTCTGAGGTCACGTGACCCCCCGAGGTCACGTGACCCCTTCAGGTCACGTGACCCCCAAGGTCACGTGGGGGTCACCTTGGGGGTCACGTGACCTTGAGGTGACCCCCAGGTCACGCCTCCCCGAGGTCACGTGACCCCCTCCCGAAGTCACGTGACACCCCCCCCCCGAGGTCACGTGACCCCCCCCCGAGCATACTACAGAATGAGGGGAGGAGGAGGAGAAGGGGGAGGGGTCTACCCTTAGTACCCTTCACTCCTCCTCCTCAAGAGCTGCGCTCCAATTCGGCGTTACAGGGATTTGTAAACGGCTTTCACTTTTTTTTTTTGATTTATATGAGCACGGTGCCCGACACGACGCTATGCGCCGAGAAACTGAGGGAGAGAAGGAGACGAGAGCGGTCGTCAGAACGTCAAGCTCTGATACGAATGATTAGTTGGTAGACTCAAAGCTAGCTGCCTTTGTCTCCATTATGCTCGTCGAACGCGTTAAAAACGCGGAACGCCGACGTCAAGCGTGTGGTGGCTTTCGTATTCGAACGCGTTCGACGGGCGCAGTGGAGACAAAGGCATACTCTGATACGAATGATCAGTGGGTAGGCTCAAAGCTAAATAGCTTTGAGTCTACCCACTGATCATTCGTATCGGAGCCCAGCGTTCTGACGATCCCTCTCGTCTCCTTCTCTCCCTCACTCTCTCGGCACATATGCTCAATCGCCGTTCGTGTTTAGAATGTGGTTCTCGCCTGAGAAAACGCTCCTGTTGGGCCATCACCGGCCACTACTGCATGTTTACTTACAACGTGATGTCGTACCTAGTAGATAGGGGACGATTGAATGGGTTAAAACAGCGCTAAAGACGAAGGACCAGTAAAAGGAAACACACAGACACAGCGCTGATTTGCAACAGAATTTTTACTTCTACGCCATTCAGAAAGTAAGCTTCAAATGGGGGCGTATATAAAAAGGTGGGGTGTGGGGGGGGGGGGGGGGTGGATGAGGCGCATGGCCGGAGTTTGCCCAGAGCTCTTGTGGGTGTATAGCCGGCCCTGACGGCTGCCACTACGAAAAAACGCTTTTTGTTAGTTGTCATGTTCAAGTTTCAAGCTTCAAGTTTCTTAATTTCTAGCTCGAGCTTGAGCTTTTTTAACTTAAATAACTCTGCCTTTTCCGCCCGAGCCATCCGTTGCGCAATCGCAGCCTCCTCGTAATAGTTTTTTGCCGCCGCGGCGGCTGAGATTACTGCTTCAGCGGCATCCAGTGCCCTCTTAGCGGCTGCTTTGTCAAGCTCAATGTTCTCTGCTTTACACTCTTGCAGTTCCTCACTTCGCCGCTGGAAACGACGCGCAGCCGTCCTGCACCAGCGACTTGGTCGGATGCCTGGAGGAGGGAGGGGCTCGTCTGCCCTAAGGCCAAGGTTTCCGGGCTGACCAGCCTCCTGCCTAGCAGCCCGTTCGTGCGGTGGCAGCAGAACTTCAGCAGAGCCAATACTGTACAGAACCATGTGGATGCTGATTTTAGCCGAGTGCGAAAAAGGCACACATTTTGCGTTGTTAAAACAATTCACAGTTTCCAGCAGCCCATTTTTGTGTTAGGTATGTTTACGCAGTATTGGGAAAAGTAGTAAGGACTTATCTCGGTTGCAGTTTTGTGCCGCCTGTTTATAGTGAAGCCAGTGTCATTTGAGAAACATCTGTCAATAATCGGTTCCTTCACTCTACCCTCACCTCGAATACATTTTGGTCGGTGTGAAAATATTACTGAACTTTACCTTACTATACTCACATCATCACTAGGCGATGTACGGCTGGAGGTAATTTCTTTGTTTAGTAGCATGTAGAAATAAGAAATAAGATATTTTTTTGTTCAAATAACTCACGAGTGTATCGCCTGTCCTTCTTTCTGCTTTTTTACAATATATGTGCACTCACACACTATAAAAGTGCAAACAGTCCTTTTCGCAAGCTTTCCACAACTTCAAATTCTCCTGGTTTTTGCTACATCGACTGCGCAGAAAAAAAAAAAAAAAGGGCTTCTTATTTGTTGAATTAAAAAGTTAATGTCCACCATGTTCCCAAACTGATAAATACATATTTTATGGCTTTCTGTTTCCGCTGTTTTCCAGCTACCTTTCGAGTTAAGAAAAAAAAGCAAGGAAGATGACATAGAAAATACCAATTAAACACTTTTGCAGGTGATAAGCTCCACTGTGCATCCAGAAATTCAGGACTTATCCAGAAACGATTACTGAAAATAGAGATATTGGCAACTGAGCCTCAGTGAGCAGCTTGATTTTCCTGAAGATTGAATGAACGCTAGTTGCATACGTCTCGGTGTCGCCGACAATGACGTCATCCAGGCCACCCAAATTCGGCGAGTCCTGCCCAATGACGTCCAGCACAGCCTGGAAGATGGGCGTCACTACGTGCGGGTTGGGGCCAGCACCTGTTGCGTTAAGGCAGAGGCGTGTTCTAAGTGTAAAGACAACAGTCGATGATAGGTCAAGAGCGAAAGCAGAGGAAAATGAAAGGTGGGGAGGAGAAAGCAAGCTAGAGAGAGCCCCCGGGGGGAAACCTCGTCTATTCTACAGAGCCCCCTGATTCCTTTCCCCACCCTCCTTTCTCTCTCCCTTCATTCTTGACCTGTCATCGACTATAGCTTTCTCCCAGTAGGCACAACACATCTTTTCCTAGTACTAGCCCTCCACATATTTTACTATATTAGAGTGCCTATGGTGAATCGTAATAAGCAAATTAAATTTGCATGGGCTTCTTACTCACTCCGGCGCGTGTTTGATTTTATATCCTACGGTTGTTGGTATTACCGAGCTTTCTTTCTTTTTTTTTTTTTTTTCCTAGTGAAATTTGCTTTATCGCAGGTTCAAGTTCTATACTTTGCCTGACTGCACTCCCACTATGAATGTAGACAAGGCCCTATGAGCTATATAACATTCTTGGGGGGGGGGGGGGGGTAGTTCTGACTCACCAGTTCGTTGTTCATGCGCTCGGAAGAGCGCATACATGTCTCTGGCTTTCTTTACCAACTTCCGCCATGCCTCCTGCAGCTGCCGTGCACTCCGCGGAAAGCTTATGTCATTGACAATATCTTCCCATGCCTGTCTCTTCGTTCGCCAGGTAACTGTGCTGCTGAATTTCTCTAGAATTTGTTGTTTTCGTTCTCCAATTGCTCTAATTAATTCCATTTGTTGATCCAAAGTCATTTTAGGCGTTTGCATTTGAGAGATGGTTTGCGATGTCGACGCCTGACTCATTTTTGCATTCGGTTGTGATCGTCTGCTATTCATACTAAAATTCAACAAGTAATTTGTTAATATTTCAAAACGATTGCCAAAGCGAGATGTAAAGAGTAAAAATAAAACTTTTATCACATTCAATGCAAGTAAAAGTATAATCTTTTTTATTTCGGTTTTACGACGTTGTCAGACGTTTGACTTGCTGCCTTGCTTGTAGGATTTCGCTCAATCAATGCATCCACGGCTGTTATTTTTTTTTTGTGTGTGTGTGTGTATATTTCGGGGAATATATATATTTTTTTAATTGTCACAACTGCGGTTTCTAGTTTTACTAAATAGGAGTCTCCTGTTATTGAAAAGAGTCGTAGCCAGAGCGTTGTATATTTAAAAACACATAAAATTGTAGTTGCTGGGAAAGGATGCTTGTTTCGACCCCGTTTGTGAGAAAGTCATACCGATGCTGTAATCTTCGTGTCCTTTTAATGAAAATTATGAAACGTTCGTATTTGCGCGTTAACATCGCTTGATCTTGGTTTCCTTTCAATGAACATTATGAAACGATTGTAGTAGGGCGTTAACTTGGCTTACCGTAATCTTTTTTTCTTCCGGTTTGTCGACCCAACAGGTGGGGCAAACATTAAAAACTGTGTAAGGCGCAGTACTCCGAGTGGATGAGTAGTAACAAAGATTACACTTAAAAATAAAAAAAAACACGCGCAAAATTAGAAAAAAAAAAAAAAAAAAGTATCTACCGCGATTCGAACCCGGAACTCTCCCAACGGGACAAGTCCCGGCGCTCTAACCACTCGACCACACAACTTTTTTTTTTTTTTTTTAAAAGTGTTTATTTACATGGGTACATACACGAGAACACTATATACAATTTACATTATGTACAAAGCGTCAAAGACACAAAAGAATTGAACGGTTGTCAACCTACACAAAGAGAGTGTTACTAGTAATATTAGAAAGCTCGGAAATAGTTGGAAACAAAGGATGTACAGCACACTTCAGTTTTCCACTACAGGGAGTTGGCAAAGAGGGCCCTAAAGTGTTAAAATCCTGGTCTAGTGACACGGACTCATATGACGTCAGGCGAACGACTGATGCCTTCTATGGCTTGTTTCCATTCTTCATTATCTTCGCAGCACGCTAGCATGCTCTGACAAACGAATGTGGCAATATTCTTAAAGTTCACCCAAGACGGTTTGGCAACCCCTCCGTCCGTATCAACTTTCCGTGTCTTCCACAGGCTATATAAACCTATCACAACTAATGTGTCGAGAACCGTATCTAACTGGTCTCCAAAATGTAGGTAACGGAAATTACTTTCTTCGACTTCAAAGTCTTTTTTCACTGTCCTCTTGAAAACGTCCCAGAAGAAGACTGCATCAACACAGAGCACAAATGCATGGGTGAATGTCTCAGTTGTTTTGCAGAGCCTGCAGTTTGTGCTCCAAAATACGTCAAAACCCCGTGACTCTCGCCACTCCTTTACAGGTATTGTCCGCGAGTGAAAGCGAAAAAAGAACGACTTGCACTTCGGTGGAATGGGCAAGCGTTTGACTCTTTTTAAAACATCAGTTTCGCAGTTAGGGGGAGCAGCAAATACACCCAATCGGTACAGTGGGTCTGGAAACAAAGAAGTTAGTAGACATTTAAGTAACTTCTTCTTGGAACATGTCTCTAAGAAGTCACCGGTAAACCGTGCTCTCAGGAAGTCAATGGTGTCTGCTACCTCTTTGTAGAAGCCGCGTAAAGTGATCGTTTTGCTCGATGACTCTGTATTTACTGCTGTTCCTGTGTACTTTGATAAGAAATATGTTTTACACGTTTCTAGAAACGGGTGCTGTGGTGTTCGATAAAATTTCCATCTCGCCATTAGCTGCCTAACAAAGATATGCCCAAGACCTAGGCCGCCGTCCTCCGTTCGTCGGAAGAGGTTTGATCTCCGCATGGGCTCGTATGTTGAATTCCAAATAAACATTGCAAAAATCCTGTTAAACCTGTTAACTGTAAGTCTAGAACAGTGCATGACCTGAAGAATGTATGTTAATTTTGACAAAAGAAATATATTGCAAACGGCTACTTTGCCAAACGTGGAAAGGTATCTTAGCTTCCATATACGAACGGCGGACTTGACTTTGGTTTCTAAAGAATCCCACATGGGTTTCGGATTGTCCATGACATTCAGTGGCACACCTAAAAGCTGCGGCTTGCTCGTTGTCCACTCGATGTCGACGAACTTGGCAGGTGTTGTACCCCACTCCCCGCACCACGAACCACTACTTTTATCCTTATTCACCAAAGCACCAGACACTGGGCAGTAGTCGTCAACATGTGACATCGCTGTTACGATGCTTGGTTTGTTGGAGCAAATCAGGACCAAGTCGTCCGCGTAAGCCAGGAGTTTGACTTCGCACGCATGAAGGCGAAACCCTTGTATGTCTTTGTCATTGATGATGTTTCTGCAGAGAGGCTCTAGGTAGATATTGAAGAGTAGCGGCGAGAGTGGACAACCTTGGCGTACCGACCTTCGAACTAGTATAGATTTTGTCAGAGATCCGTTTAGAAGTAATCTTGTCGATATGTCCTTGTAACAAAGCTTTACGCCTTTTTCAATAATTTCGCCAATATTTAGGTGCTTTAAGAGCGCAAAAAGAAAATAGTGGTCCACTCTGTCGAACGCTTTTGCGAGGTCAAGTTGCAATATAGCTGCAGAGTCTTGTGTACGTTGGCATATCTCCAACATTGATCGTACGGTGTGGAGATTAGTTTGTATGTTTCTTCCCTTGATGGAACATGTCTGATGATCACCGACGACTCGACTTATTACTGTTTGAAGTCTTCCAGCCAGCACTCGAGCCAAAATCTTGTAGTCACAGTTCAGGAGACTGATAGGTCGGTAGCCTTCAACTCTTTGCAGCTTGATTGGGTCCTTGAATTTCGGAATAAGTATGGTATGTGCCTTCCGAAACGACAGTGGCAAGGTATCCTCGGCGTAAGATTCTTTGAAAACGTTGCAAAGAATTGGTGTTAGTCTTTCCTTCCATTTTTTATAAAAGCTTGCAGGCAATCCATCAGGACCGGGAGCTTTATTACTTTTCATTTCGGTGATGTTTTGCGTAATCTCCTGTATATCAAGGGGAGAATTTAGTTTTTCCTTCGTTTCATTTTCTAAGCTGGGCAATTTTGCTATTATTTCACGCAGACGTGGATGGGGAGACTTATTACTTGTTGCAAAAAGTTCGGCGTAATGAGAGACGAATGCATTCTGAATATCGTTTTCGTTTGTCAATTCTTGACCATTTAGTTTTATCACTGACACTGACTTTTTTCGGACGTACTCTCGTTCAGCATGAATGTTTCTCTTCGTGGGCTGTTCACCTTCAATTAGTCGTAGGGTGCGAGTCCTCACAGCAGCTCCTTCATAGCGCTTCTTGTCGTAATCTTCGATTTGTTTCTTAATGTTTTTGATTTCATTTTTATACATCCCTGGCTGCTGGCATTCAAGATTGTATAGGTA